TTACGCAATGAACATCTACTTCTAACTTCGTACCTACATTTTCATTTGACTTTCTTTTCGCTGTTAGAGCCCCCACCCGGGGGCACTATCACTCTATTAACCAGTTTGGCGCCGCCTCCTTCTTTACGTGGTTTAAAATGGTAGTTAAAAGAAATACTTGACACAGACTCGAGGATGATTTGCTTTCTCAGATACACCAAATGTTGGTAATAAATATTTTTTATGTGTAAGTGTACCTTTAATAAAATGTGAACGAGTTTTTCTTTATATGTAGTTAGAATTGATAAATTTTTGAAGTTCCTTAAACTGTATCTATTAATTAAGTAAACAATTGTGTATAATAAAATATTTCATTTTCATTTTTTTTTTCATTTTTATAATAACATGGTGGTAAGCAACAATTATTTGAGTGTTGAGTGTTAACCTCTTAAATTAATATCCATAATGAGATCACGAATTACCGTTGGTTTTCGTGCCTTCCATTTCCAGTCACCTCAACAGATTTATTTATTTATTTATAGATAGATATCTAAAGTCTAAGATTTTCACCTATACGGTAGAGCACTGAACTACGAGTNTATACAATAAGTGAAGTAATTAGAACGCATTACCATTGTCTATGATATGGTTTAAAAAGAAATTTGTGTTTTCCTAACTGACATTCTCTGTGTGTCACTTACCATTACGAGGAATAAACTGAAACGTATTTTGATCTCGCTTTTTATTAGAAATCCTTCATGGTAGCAGAGCGTACCGTTTACCGTGACTGTTAGAGGATTTCTAGAAAGGCGACAAAAGTGTTAGGGCGCCGGCAAGTCACGGCATTTTACAATAATAGTTTGACAACCCCAGTTCTAAATTTTCAAAACGAAAATCATGTCTGCATCCAATATGTTCAATATTGAAAAACTAACTGGACGAGAGAACTTTTCAACTTGGAAATTCGCCGTAAAAGCATATTTGGAACATGAAGATTTGTGGAAATGTGTGGATCCCGAAGAAACAAAAACCGATCCCGATCTTGACGTAAAAGCCAGGTCAAAACTGATTTTGCTTTTGAGTACACAGAACTACGTGCATGTACAAAACTGCAAAACAGCACGAGAGGTATGGCAGAGTTTACATAAAGCCTTTGACGACAACGGGTTGGCTAGACGCGTTGGCTTGCTGAAGGAATTGATTAACACTTCTCTAGAATCAAGTGATGGTATAGAAGATTATGTCAGTAGAATCTTGGTTGCTGCTAACAAATTAAGAAATATTGGCTTTGAAGTTAATGAAGAATGGCTTGGGACACTAATGTTAGCTGGGCTACCCGACGAGTATAAACCTATGTTAATGGGACTGGAGAACTCGGGAGCTAAAATTAGTGCAGATTTTGTAAAAACCAAGCTACTACAAGAAGTAATAATAACTGATACTAGTAACGCTTTCTATACCAACTCTCAGAGATTCAAGAATGTTCAGGAAAACTCGTACAGTGGTCAGGTCAAGAAGACACAGAAAGAAGAGAATTCCAATTTTGTTGCAGCTTTATCAGCTTCCACCAGTTGTAATTCTTCTAAATGGTACATGGATTCTGGTGCCTCCATGCACATGTGTAACAACGTGGAGTGGATGCATGATATTCATGAGCCTTCCGTGAAGACAGTCACAGTGGCCAACNGATATTCAGATAAAAGCGAGATCAAAATACGTTTCAGTTTATTCCTCGTAATGGTAAGTGACACACAGAGAATGTCAATTAGGAAAACACAAATTTCTTTTTAAACCATATCATAGACAATGGTAATGCGTTCTAATTACTTCATCCCCCCCTGAACGCATGCCCAGTGTTCAGATGCTCTTCGGATCTGGTAAGTTGGTGAGTAAACAAAATAACTGAGCTCGTCATTATCAGTACCTTCCAACACAGACTCTCTCCTTGGCTGAGGTGAAATGACCGAACCTTGAGTACAAGTCTCTTCTGACTGAACTTTACTTTCTAAGCTTGCTGTGGTTTGAGCTGATGTAGGTACTTGTAGTTTTCAGCTGGACTGTAATCATATCATTACGCATAAAACCATTTTCAAAGAATGCAACATCTCTGCTTTTCATAACTCGATGCGTCTTGGGATCTATGACACGATAACCCTTAGTACTGTCACAATAACCTACAAAGATCCCTTTATTGGACCTTTTATCCCACTTTTGTCTGCTCGCCTTTGGGACGTGAACCATGACCTCTGAGCCAAATATTCTGATGTGGGATAGGTTAGGTTTTTTGCCTGTCCATAATTCGTAAGGCGTTCTACCATCTAAGCCTCTGGCTGGAGACCTATTCACAATATACATGGCTGTGGCAACAGCTTCACCCCAAAACGGTTTATTCAAATTTGCATAAAACATCTTACTGTCCTCCTAGGGGTATGAAGGGTTTGCAGGATCTCCAAAGTGGTATCACATTGAGGCCACGTCACCGAAACGATGACCAGGGATTATTTTGTTTACTCACTTACCAGATCCGAAGACTGTTGAGCATCTGAGCACTGGGCATGCGTTCAGGGGGGGATGAAGTAATTAGAACGCATTACCATTGTCTATGATATGGTTTAAAAAGAAATTTGTGTTTTCCTAATTGACATTCTCTGTGTGTCACTTACCATTACGAGGAATAAACTGAAACGTATTTTGATCTCGCTTTTTATTAGAAATCCTTCAGTATGTATTTACAAAAACTAGTATTTAAGTATGTTTATATCCGTTGTCTAGTACCCATAGTACAAGCTTTGCTCAGTTTGGAACTAGAAGCATAGTGTAAAATGTCCAAGGATATTTATTTATTTATTTTATTTAGTTTCACCTGTCCTGTTTGTCGGTAATCAATTAATCTTGTTACTTATTACTATACTTTAAAAAGAAGAAAACTTTACATACTCATTCCACCCTAATTTGGAATATAATTAGAAACAATATTTTCGGAGTTATATTCAAAGATTTTCATTTTTCAATCAAAACGAAAAGAAGGCAGTGCCAAGTGAAGTCAAGTCGTAAACCTAGGATTATGTTTGCAGAAGATATTAAGCTATCATTTAATGGCCGCATTAAACGGAAAAGCAAACATTTAGTCTGCTAATCAAAGATGGTAAAAATCAATAAGATTGTGGGATCCAAATCTGCCCTCTCGTTACAACTAGGTTTTTTTTAATACTTCACAATGCAGGTATTTGACCGCAATCGCACCTGGTGTTAAGTGAGATCTGAGAGTGAGTCTAGGATGGTACATATCTGCCCTGTAAGTGCCTATTCATTCTCGCCTTGAAAAGGCCCTCACATTCTCCCCAAATACCTACTGCTAGTTGTTGAGACCACCTGTAGTATTGTGGGCTCAAAAATAAGTAATTTCATTCAAGTGCAAACATAACTTTGCATTGGAATGCATGTTTATATTAGCTAACTGCAAACGTAACTTTGTAAAGAATTTAAAACCTTTTAGAATTGTGTAAGATTTTTCATGATTAAGATCAATGAAGCGATTCATAATTCTACAGTTTTAAATGCTGAAAACTGTTAATATGAATGGAACCTTGAAAAAACTTATTACTAAGAAGCAAAGGAATTTTCTGTTCACCGAAAGCTGAAAAACGAAAGGTTGAAATTTAAATATACGCGTGTTACCAGGTAACAAAAAGTAATTAATAAAGAGCAATAACTGCACGTTGGGGCAGGTCAGACCACGGCACGCACAGAGTATTGAAAGATTTGAGATTATTTTGTAACATAATAAGGTAATCTACCAGCAATAATAAAGGATGTATAACCTAACGAAATGATTCAAATTGAGGCTGTGAACAATTAATTTAATATCAACTTCTGTTTACAAAATCACCTTAATGAAGAACACGTAACATATCATTAATAACACAGTCACATGTCATTTTTAATTTCTAATACAGCGATACAGTAAGAGTTCTCTCTTGAGCCGAAAAAAATTAAATTATCTTCATACGAGTAATATTAATCAATCGATTTTTGGTAGAGTCGAGACTAATTCAGAGCCAGTGAAAATACAGAGGTTCTCATGATTTGTACTTTTTAATTTCCAAAAGAAATGAGAATATTTAATTTTACAACTTTTAACTCCAATAAAAACTAACAACTCATTATTCCCGCACCAAAAGCATTAATGTTGCTGCAATTGCATTCGATACAATCCAATTGTCGTTTCAATAACGCGTAACGTTTGTTTTAAAGGCCATCTAACTGCGTGCGGTGTCGATACGTCTCATCGGCGCTGCAGGGGATTACAATTTCCCTGCAGTCAATAACATGGTGTTACAGTCATTCACTAAAGGGGACTGAATAGATCTCTCGGTCACAAAACCCATTCGGTTCTTTGTTTGGTTTGTGATCATTGGATGACTCATTTAGTGCATGCAGTTTAACACAACTTTAAAAAGAAAATGCCATTTAAAATTCAGATTGTTAAGAATAGTCCTGTAAGTAAGTACCTACTTAATGTAGAGAAAATTATTAATTAAATTTTCGTTAGATGAAGGATTTAAAAAGGTAAAAAACATTTACTATTTTTTAATCATTAATTACCTGCAAAATCATTTAAATTAACAACTGAATAATATTTGAGCATAAATTTAACATTAACGAATTAACAAAACAAAAGCTAAGTGAATTTTGCGTACACGTGCCAAATCAAAGGTTAAAACTGCACACAGCTAACCGACACCAAATAAAATTTGCATACTACACTGTAACGTCCCTTTAACGGCACCGCATCACAAACTACGCATTCATTCCTGTCTCTACTCATCTGTTTTACAACTCTAAAATATAGGCATATTTCTTTTTTGAGAGCTCACTCCTTATGTCTCCTTGTCTATTCTGTCTGTTTGAGAGCTCATACCTTGTCACTTTGTCTGTTCTGTGTCTGTTTGAGAGCTCATACCTTGTCACTTTGTCTGTTCTGTGTCTGTATCTCCCTAACCTTGTAATTTCATCCACAGAGCAAAGAATTAACAGTAGAGGCAGCAAGTCCTCTAACCTTATCGAGAAGGTCAACGGTTGGCGCAGCCAGCGCGGAGGTACGTCACGTGGCATGCGCTTTGGCTGTTCGAGGCGAATGCGCCGACCTAAACGGGAGTCGCACTGCATGAATAAAATACAGTCAAATAAATGTCTACATGTTGTCATCATCCGCATGTACAGTGACAGCACATACCTACAAATGTCAAATTAATGTGCCTCGTTTGATTTTGAACCTTATGCTCATAAGAGTAAAGTTCAACATCCTATGATGAAAATTTGATATTTTGTTAGGTTCACGTGCAGCACAAAAAATCCCTCGATGTTTAGTTTACCATAAATGTATCATTCCTTGATAGGCAACAATTATAATTCCCAATTCTGTCAACCCATTGCACAGTAGAAGCAACTATTGTAAAAATAATCCAGTTTCTGCTATTAATATATGCAAAAAAGTACCAATTCTGCTGAAGCGTTTAGATGCATGTAGCGCTTTTGTGTCGAAAACACCCACTTTGTACATGTTTCATTAACGAATGACTGCTCTATTTAGCGATCGCAAACACAACTAAGCCCCATGGACCAAATGTTGCGCTTCCATTTAAGTAGATAATAGGCGTTCACAGCTTCACAAGGGTAGTTTGTTACACCAAATAGAACAACCAACACGAGCTTTGGTGATAGTCACGTTTTGAGATTAAAAAACTATTCTATGTATAGGAGGTATATGTAAGCTTATCATAGTAAATAAGTTCTACACCTGTAACGCTAGTCTACTAGTAATCTTAATAGGTTTTTATCAGCCTCTTAGCTGACATCTGTCAAATTAGAATTAAAGATGTGGTGTTGATAAAAAACTTATCTACATGTAAGATAATTACCTTTTAAAAAAAATAAAACCGACTTCAAATGCGCGAACACAAAAAAAAACTAAAAATTAAAAATATTGCGTATAAAAAAGTTCATCCCCAATTTTCCACCCTTAGGGGTGAAATATTTTCTTCAAATTCGCATGAAACCACCCTTTTGATAATACCTATTCAACAAAAAAATAATCGTTCAAATTGATTTATAATCGGCGGAGATATTGCGTATAAAAAAGTTCATCCCCAATTTTCCACCCTTGGGGGTTGTTTTTTCTATTATTAAATTTAAATGGGAGGTATTACCTATACGCCGAAAAAAGATTTGTTCAAATCGGTTCATAATTGGCGGAGTTATCGCGTAACAAACATAGAAAAAAAAAACATACGGGTCGAATTGAGAACCTCCTCCTTTTTTGAAGTCGGTTGAAAAATAAGTTCATTAATAGCAATGTTATTGAAGTTATCATCTTAATTTCTATTCACATTTCATCAAATCACACCCTTATGCCAAAAACATTAATAAGATTACCGCAGCTTTTTCCATACTAATATTTTCTCCTCAAAATTACTTAACGTTTTGCTCTAAACTCTCCACTACTCTGTAACTATTATTTCTCGGAGGTTATTAAAGGTTATAGTGTAACAATTATCATTTCAAGCGACACGCCACTACACACGGGTTTTAATATGATTTTTAAATTATATGTTTCTAGGGAACCGTTAGACCGTTGTTCTTAGAACATAGTTAAAATGTTTACTTGGCGAATAGCTGCTCATTGTCAAGGCTCAATGATTAAGTTTTAATTAAGTTAATAATCTGAATCTTTTGTAATGACTCTACATTTTACAAAAGTATCATACCTCTAGAAAAAGGCAGACAGTAGCCAAATGAAAAAAGGAGTTTGGGTTATTTGACGCTCCTTGGACGAAGCTACTTCAGAAGTGGACTGTAATTGGCTAAAACGATTAAATTTTGCTATAATTTATAACATACATTGGATTTTCTATTTCTAACGCTCTATTTAGTTTCAGGTCTATCTGCCACTTGGCAACTCACTTTACGTAAGAGATTTATAAACATTCATTAACCACACCTCAATTAATAAGTGGGAAAAGCGTCACAAAGTCTTTAAACCTATTACTCGTACTTATGCTATTTTTTGTTCAGGACATCATATGCAATCAATTTCACACACTTGGAACTCTACTCGCTTTTACTGTTACACCCACGCGTTAATGAGTACTAGATTAGTAACAAACTGTTGAAGCCCTGTGATTAACAATGGAAAACACCCTAAAAATTGCCATTTAATTTACTTTAGACAACTACAGTTACATAAAAAATAAACACGTCACTGCATAATGTACATAAACAGAGTAGGCTCAGGAAAATGTTGAAGGAAATAGTAAAAGTTTGGTGTAGGAGTAAAGGTTTAACGTAATTCAAAACGTAGTATAGTTCTTGCAACTCACAAAGGCGAGTGAGCTTTACTTGTGTGTGTACGTGTTACATGCACATAACGATAGTGTTATGTCTATATTAAAACTTTTGAAAAACGAGCAGAAGGGAGCCACCACACATGTAAAGCTCACTCCCCTTCGCCTTCGTGAATTGCAACAACTACCTACCGATTGTGAAGCCGGGTAAAAAAAAATCTTACCAAACCGCTACCAACCAAGTTCATATGGGCCTACTTAGTCAATTAGATCTTCAAAAATCTATTTTACTCGGAAATATAGTTTTGCCAGTCTAGCAGAGCATTCGACGGCCTGAAAAAAACATGCCCTACTAAGAAATGAGCTTACTTTACCTCGTTCACTATGATCGGTAACTAGAAAGACTTAATATTTGTATGCAATTTGCAATGAAAACACAAGTAAGTGTGGCAGACATGCGAACCAAACATTAATCCGCTAGAGTGCTTACTAGAAACTACTAGAAAGGCTTCGGAAACATATGTTTAATCAAATTATATCGACGTCAGCACCTCTTTAACGTAATTAAAAACGATAATTAAGTTTTAAAGATACAAAGTTGAGATTCGAAGTTTTTTAATTAGTAAAGGACAATAGACCGGTCTTTTATAGTACCTATTGTGATAAAAAGTAGCTTTTAGTACCGATATTGAATAAGTAGCATTTTTTAAAATTACCTGTTAGCTTTTTTTGCGTAGATTTCTTTAATAAGTAATTAAATCTTAGTAATAATAGCCTTGTGATTTATATCGCAATATTAACATAGGTATTTAACGAATCCACCCAGAGATATCATTTTCAAATATGTTAGATAATATAGATAATTTTGTACAAATCTCATCATCATCACCATCTTCATTTCAGCCGCAGGACGTCCACTGCTGAACATAGGCCTCCCCCAATGACTTCCACATCGCACGGTTGGCAGCGGCCTGCATCCAGGGCTTACTAATGATGTGTCTACTGAATTTCCTTATTCTCATATATTTCATTTTATAAAACTTTCCGCTGTCATCAATCTATTCTTAATATAACCCAATCAGTGTCCAATTGAAATGGGCCAATCCGTGTCACTTCGGCCAAAAACTTGACATTAGTACCCCGTTGGGAAATTCCTATGAGTTCAATGGATTTATGTCGATGGCTGTTACGAACAAATACGATTGTTTATGGTCATTCCAACTTTGCGGGGGAGTCCCTAATAAAAATATGTCCTCCGTAATACAATTGTCATTATTAGTATTGTAGTGGGTTGTTAGAGCTTTGTAATATATCGCTGTTTGTTGGAATAAAATTCGATGAGTCAGTTTTGAAACGTTGTTATTGTAGTGTGATATTAATATTATGTGGCTTTACCAAATGTATGGAAGCTGGAAACATTAAAATTTCGGATAGTTCCAGTTTATTCTGTAACATATTATTGGTACCGTTTAAAAGAGCTCGTGAAGCACTTTCAGGATCTTGTGTAGTTTAGAAATAATCCAGTGAGATAACTTATCGTTTCCACCCTGTACAGGTAAGTACTTAAACGATTTAGATGGTACAACAGTAGGTACGTCGCTTGCCTCTCTAACTGACGTACCTATCTGTCATTTTTTTCGAAATTGAGTTATCTACACCATCTTAATCAATTTCGCAAGACGAATCGATCTGTCTAATCGTCTGAAAATTTTGCTAAATGTCAGTTACGTCAGTTAGAAAGGCAAGCGACGAGTAATAATAAAATAAAACCAAGATGAAACAAGATTGTAGAGCAAACGTTTTGCATTGATTTCGTTGATCTAAAAGCATTTAATAACGAGGTAGGTCCTGACTTTAGAGTCTCTTAACGACGCCTTAGAGTGAAAACCTCTTAAGTGTAAAATAAGTAATTTTTCAGGAGGAAGATAAAACTGCGTGCTGTAAAATTTTTGTACGACGTCTTTTATGTTTTTGTCAATTTATATGTATGTAAAAACTGTTTTTATACCCAGAAATTATTTTATATATAATATTCTGTAAGATTGACCGAAATGCTAAATAAATATGAGACAATGGATTCCCGAAGTTTTCACTGTAACTAAAGCGACGATAAATAAGCCATTCGGTACAACTAATACGTTTAACCCTTTAACGCACACCCTAACTTTTTTTTGAATTCGCTATATTTCTAAGTGGATATATATTCTATAGCGTTATTTATAACAACATGTATTAATAAAATTATCAGAAACTAGATATTTTACGAGAAAATTCAAAAAAACTAGTGGTCAGTATACTGACCATTGACCGTTCTGCATCACTAAAATCACCAATATTCATGTGAAATCACTGGCCAGTAAACTAGACACTTATAAAAAAAACCGGTTATTTTTATGTGAATTACATATTAAACTAAATAAAATAATTGCGTATTTAGTTATCAATCTTTAATTAGGCTAAAAACATAATATTCAACAAAGTATCAAATAAAATGATTGCATTTCTTCTTCTGAGCCAAAAATAACATGAAAAAAACCAAAATTAAAAGTTTTGTCAACTAAAGTAAACATTATATAATAATTTAGAGACAATATTATGTTATAAAATAAAAAAACGTGAATAAAAACTCAATAAACCCAGGATTATTATATACATTATCCACAAATATACATAATTTTGTATGAAAAAATACCTAAACAGTTATAATAATGGGGTATAACTACCGAACCCGTATATTTGGGCTTATTATGTTATTGTATTATAAAAATTAATAATATACTCAGTATAAAACGATATAATTTGTGTGTAAAAATCAAAACATATAAATATGAGACCACCTCAAATTCACATGTGTAATTTCTACACAAGGCTTTTTCAACACACTAGTCTGTTTTTAATTGCAAAAATAACATGTTTATTTTACGGTTTTCGACTATATTTTCACGTGATGATAAAGTATATACTATAACATTATTATTTTACTCATCTTCTTTACGAAGATATGTTTTTACATTGAACTACACTCGGAAATATGTATCGTCTGCTTGCAATGGCAGCAAATACTAGTACGGGTGTGCACAGTGGCCAGTTGACAGGCCACCTTAAAAAAGAGCGCGAATTTTTGATGGCGTGCGACGTCCTTGAGCGCTGGCTCGTTTCTAGGCCAGCGTGCTTTATTGGCTATCGTTTATGATCATAAGGTTCGACATTGTTACAAAAATCATTGAATTATCGGCCGTAAAGTGACTGTCCAGTTTATTGGCCACTTTGTATGGGCCGTCCTATAAAGGGTTAAGACAGTGATAACCTTTACATTTATTTTATGGTAGGCAATAGTGTACATACCTACTTACGAATTAAAAACCACTTTTCTTTCTTTAGCCAAACTTTTGTCAATTACACTGTGTAATTGCCTATAACCCCTTTAGCATTCAAACAAGCGTCAACAAGCCATCTAACGTAAGGCCGCGTCCACATAGTGCACGCCACTTAGCCACGATTTGATTACTCGGTGCATCAAGTCTGAGAGCTGGTTTATAGCCCAGCTATAGCGCATTAGGTGGACACTTACCCTAATGCAACATGGTGTATAGTCAGCCATATGCATAATATTCTTTGATGTACAGAATAAACTTTTTAAAAAGTAAGGTGAATCTGAAGTCAGTAATGGTCAAATCAAATCTTTTTTTTTCTGAAAGGTCTATAATAATATTATGTTTGTTGTGTTTCAACCTTAGTACCACTTTGAAAGCAAATAGATTCTATTTTATTCTAATTCATGTTTTGAGCAAAAACACGGTTAACAGTAATTAGCTTCATAGACAAAGCATAAATTCTCAATGGACTGTTTCACGCATATTTTATTAAAATCAATCAAGTGTCTTTTCCGGCGCTTTAGGGGTTAAAAACTCGATGAATTATAATAAAAACATGTATCATAATTATGCAATGTATGTACATTGTACTTATTAGGGGAGAGTTCGGTATATTGTACCGCCGGGTAAATTGTACCACCCTCATATTTCGTAAAGTATTTATTGAATATCTGTAATTGCAACACCCAGCGATACACAACTAAAATCAATTAATATCGGCCATGTGGTTTTTGCCGTGACAACAAACACGTGTGTTTTATTTTGAAAAGTATTTTTTCATTGTTTTCAAGTAACTTTTGACAATACATGTTTAGATTGTAATTTTGTTAAATTTAATCACAGGGTGTTTCTAATATATTATTTAGAAGCGTAAATTAGTGTGTATTACAATTATTTGAAAGATTTTTAGGTATTTATAAGCTATATTTTTTACCGATTTTTTAAAAGCACTATCACCTAGTCGGCTAAATTGTACCACATCAAGTTGTATGGAACATTACAAAAGGATTTTGAATTTTTTTTTAGTAAATCATATTTTGAAGTTACAATAGCTTAGTTATGTTTGACTAACAATAAATGAAAGCAAAAGACTGGCAAAGTAGATTAGGTACAAGTGTGCGTTACGATAATTGGAATTACAAAACTTGTACTAAAAATCGTGATAACGTGTAAAACAATATCGATTGTCTATGTTATTAACTACTGTTCCTCTTCGTTTCCTAATTTGTTAAGAATGTATCGTATAATATTTTGCCATAGTTTTTTTATAGGCTTGAAATTTATTGAAATCCAATTTAGTAACCCTGTGGTACAAATTATCGAACCGGTTGGCTAAATTGGACCGAAGCTCTGAACTCGTACTTTGTTAATTTGTGCTAAATATACAACAATCATGTTAATTAATACTTATGAAATAGTAAGTTGAATAATGTATCTTTTATTATATACCATGGACATTAGCAAAAACAAAAGAAAACTATGTGTAAAATGGGATTGAAAAAAACTGGTCCAAATTAGCGGACTCTCCCTTATATGTATGTACATATAATAAGTAAACGGTGTCACATGTAGGATACCCATGCACATAATTAAACAATAAGCTAACAATCACACGTTTACTATTATTTTAACCCACGCATGTTAAATTACTTGTAACAGTTGTTACACAGCCCCACATATAACAAATCAAGTATTCAACTATCAACAACTAGTGGACCCATAATAACAATTCGCGTTACTATTCATTTAACTTTATATGGTCCTACAAAAACATTGAAATATTTTAAACTAGCAAAACCAATGTTTGTTCGATTACATTTATTAGTTTCAGATTCATATTGACTATTTGTCTTTCAGGTTCGTGCTTAAGTTACGGGCATTCGTGCTGGGGAGGTGAGTTGAAGTATTAATAATAAATTACATTAATATCATTTATTTTCATGTAACTAATAGATCTCTAAAAGAAAATATTTAGTACTAGCGACCGCCCGCGACTTCGTACTCATGGATCCCGTTTTACCTCCCTTAGGAGTTGAATTAGTTGAAAAGCCACGATAGCCGAACGGTGAAGGGGTCGGACTGGCCGACTCGTAATCCGGGGAACGCGGGTTCGGTCCCCGCCGCCGTTCGACTATTGTGGTGAGCTCACTCGTGATACAATCATATTTTAGCTTAGTACGAGAGGGGCTAACGGGAGTATTAGTAATTTGTGTAATAACAAATTACTACTAATTAAAAATAATTTTCCAAAATCTCGTCTGAGTAAGCACCTACATTCTAAAAGGAACCCCCATTCAAAATTCGAGACTCCTAACACTTGTAATTTCTGTATTTCGTGATAAGTGAGTTAGTCAATCAGTGACCTTTCGCTTTTATAGATATAATAGATAGATTTTTGTTGAACGAAGATATATGAACTTTTATGTAGTTTAATTCTAGTACATACTTAAAGGTGCTTATTTTATTGATCGTGCGTTACTACTCTTCAATTAAAAGAAGCAAAGAGCCACAAGACGTCCACTGCTGAACCTAGCCCTCCCCCAATGATTTCCTCATCGCCCGGTTGGTAGCGGCCTGCATCCAGCGCCTTCCTGCTACCTTTATGAGGTCGTTGGACCTTGTGGGTGGAAATCTATACTAGTCTATACTGATATTATAAATGCGAAAGTAACTCTGTCTGTCTGTCTGTCTCGCTTTGACGCTTAAAACACTGAACCGATTTTGATTAAATTTGGTAAAGAGATTTGAGTCCCAGGAAAGGACACATAGGATAGTTTTTATCCCGGTTTTTGAAACAGGGACGCGCGCGATTAAGATTTTTGTGACAAACAAAATTACACGCAGGCGAAGCCGCGGGCGGAAAGCTAGTAATAATTATAATTCGTACATCATCATGTACCCAAAAGCGTCGCCTAAAAGCTTTATTATGATGACTTGACGTCACGTTACATCACATGAACGAGTCAATGTTCTACCCCAAGATAATCCGTCGATTACTTTCCTATCATGCTTTCGAAATAAATACTATGGCCAGTCGAGAATGTTTTTTACTATCGGTGCAGTAAGCTGGGATTAAACGATAGCAATATAAACGATAACTACGAGACTGAAACGCGAAATGATGCAGATGGCGCAATATATCGCGATTGTGTTTTTATTTGGGCCGTTATTGGTATTGTAATAGAACGGAATAGTGCTGTCTATCTGTAGTGTAATTCCAAGTTATCGATAGAGTCTTATGAATAGGTATTGATGAACCTATATATTGATGACTAGCTTTTGTCCGCGGCTTCACCCGCGTGAAATTTAGTTTGTCATAGATCGTCATAAATTATAGCCTATATGTTATTCTGGGTTATAAACTATAATACTGCAAAGTTTCATCAAAATCCGTTCAGCAGTTTTTGTGTGAAAGAGTAACAAACATACATCCATCCAGACATCCAGACATCAAAACTTTCGCATTTATAATATTAGAAGGATACTATTTAGGTCCAATTTCGATTAAATCATTAGGTACCTACTCTAGTAGAAATTTAGTAGTGGAGCAATAAAAACAGCAAGGTATTTTTGGCTTGTATTGGAGCCCTAAAAAGAACCTCGTAACAATAACTATGACAGACAATTCAATTCTAACTTGAAATGTATCTAGATATAAGATAAGCAACTATCATAATACATACGAGTACCTAATATAGTCAGACAATAAACAATTATTAAACCTGAGATAACGATGGCACCAATAAAACTATCGATATTGTTACTAGTTTTCTGGGTAAACATCGATAGGCACTGTAGGTATTTACAACACTAGCTTTAATTTTTATCAAAATCAAAATCAAAAATATTTATTCAGTTTAGACCACAAGTGGCACTTATGAATTTAAAAATAGATTCCAGCTTTAAAAGCCCAGTTAAATAGTAGGAAGCTTTATCTGTCAACCACAAAGTTGCATAAAGACAATGACTTACGGCGCTTTGTAAGAAAGCTTCGCTACAAGTACCTACTAGTACCTAACTAGTACCTATATTAAGATATACGGTTTCTGTGAACGAAACAATTTGTAGAAGTAATTTTGATGTAGGTACCTACATAGTTTCCCAGAGAAAACTTTCTCACCTATTTTAAATTTTCGTTTTTGCAATAAATAACCCAATAAAAAGCTTCGGCCTTTCTAAAGTACATCGTTCATAGAGGTCTCATTCAATTTTTGATGCCATATCCCATAGTAATTTGTATAAGAATAAATATATTTCCCATCGCCCAAAAGATGTGAATGTGAATATTTTTCGAGTGTGACAACAATTACCCCAAACCTTTCCCCCATTACAAACCTAAAAATGGGATCTCATTATTTGAAATAAAATGAGTTAGTTTTCTTTATTTAAATAGGTAATAACAGTAAGCTTTGTTTATCAGCCAGTTAATAGTAATAGTTAGTCTAAGTACATAAGTTTTTGTGCTCGTGACTTTACATTAGTTACGTACAGAATTGTATGACTATGTTATTTCACATTTACCCAGAATAAAAGCGATTTATTATTGAACTGGCGGATCTTATAAATATTACGCTGCGTTATATTAATAATATTCATTTAACTTGCCAATTAGCGCAACCCCACCGTTGTCGCCGTAAGCTTCTAAGCTGTAGTCAGTCAACGTAATTTAGCAAGGTTTCCCTCAAATTACCATTCATTATATTTTGGTTATCAAAGGTTTTTGAATCGATTTCTTAAAAGTCAGTCGAAATTTTAAATTTTCTAAATTCATATACAGGTAAGTATCCCAAAAAAACATACATAATAATATACAGTCGAACATATAAATAGCACATTACACTAAAATTATCTTATCTCAAAACTCTATGGGCATTAGGCTTGTTTGATGCGTCTGAGAACTCCCCTTCCAGTTAAAACGACTGAAAGCAACGCAAAAACGTGCTTTTCATCTTTACATTCGAATTTTCACCGTCTATTTACTTATAGAACTTCAGAACTTAGCACTCTTTGTAGAGAGCACGCTGATCCCTGATCCAATCCACGATGTTTCTATCTCTTGTAGTGTTCATCTGGAGCTAAGATTCAAAATGTATAAAAATTATACTTACTCGGTTTCAGCCCACGGCAAGAGGTCCGGGCGGCCGCCGGTCACCGCGCCCGACTGGTATCTCACCACCATGCTCCGACGCATGGCCTCAAACGCTGAAATGGTAAGCAACATTCAGCTCCATGTATGTACCTTTATACAGAATGTCCCAAAATGGGCGAATCCAAACTTCTATAGGATGTAGCTTTTGACCTCTGACCTACACTTGAAAATTTATTTCAGCCAAATGACGTACACTGCTGGACAAAGGCCTTCCCTAAAGATTTCCACAATGACTGGTCCTGCGCTGCCCACATTTAGAGTGCTTCTAGCAACCTTCACCAGATCGTCGGTCCACCTAGTGGGAAATTAATCTATAAGTATAAAATTAATGTGTAAATAATTCGGAGAGTACCTCACTCTCCAATTAGGAAGTATCTGAAAAATATAACCTCGTCTGCGAGTTCCTTTTACCTTTAACCGGTTTATTTTAATTCCACAAGCAATAAGAGCGTAGGTTAAGGTCTTAAATCATGCATTACAGCCCTTAACAGCCCACATGCCCTTATTAAAGAAATGGGCATACAAAATAAAACTTTAAAACAACTATCCTATACCAAATTGCCAAACATCCCTCCTCGGTATTAAATAAATGATCAATTGATTTGTTGTACTGTAGCTACGAGGAATGTTAAAATTCATGGTTATTATTTTTGCCCTTTGATTATTCAAAACCCCTTATTCAGTATTCAGGGCACACATTATAATGGCCCTTATTGTCTTGCCTTACAGGGCATATACTACCCTTATTTTAATTGTTTTTCATAGCATTTATTGAAAAATAAATTATTCTGTATCTAGAGTACACTTTGAGAATGCGTCGAATGCTCTTTTAAATATAAATAATTAAAATAAATATGAACGATAATCTTTTTCTTGTGCCATAATATGAACTTTTTTTGCCTTGCTTCCATACATATTTGATATTTTGAAAGGAATCTATATCTCAAGGAAACATACATCTAAAGATATACAAAATGGAGGTCGTGTAAAAGAAAACAGTAACACGAAAATTGGATAAATTTGCAAAATCCATAGATTAGGTAACGGATATTTTGTTACGTATGCAGATAATGTTAGTACGAGTAAGATGTTACTTATGGGGTTACTTATGGAATCTAAGCCATTTCCGTGTTACATGATATGTAAAAAGAAAACTAGCTGGTACGAATACGTATTTAGAATGAATAGTAAGTAGATTTTCATCTATTGGCTTGCCAATAGGAGATGGACTAAGGCATATAGTTTTTATCTTAGGTTTTTATACAAAACTTTGTACACCATCCAGTACCTCTAGCATGAACAAATTTTGTCTTCGAATCGTTTGCATTTCAACCTTCGAATTAACCGATAACGTGACAATTTTGATTCTCAAAATAAGTTTCGTTCAACCATTTCTGATACTAAGTTCACTTTACGACACGTTCACAAGGGCGCTGTTGTAGTGTTCGTACTAAATCTTTTGATGGCGATTCGAGCACGCAAACGATTTGAACTCGAAAGTTTTTCATGCTAGCCGTACTGTCAGGGTCAGTTTGGTTGATTAACGTATTCCAGCAGTTAAAAATTCGAATCCGTGAATATTTTATGCCAGCGTAAAAAATATTCAATACAGTTTTTTTTAAAGAACTTACTAAAATTCAGCATTGTATTTGTATTGCTTAAGTACTGATTATTTTGTACTCGTACATATTTTCCAACAACAAATATAAATTATTAATTTTGCAACTTTCAGAACCGCGTTCGTCAGGCCTCAAACAACAACGAAGACCTTAACGCCATCTTCCAGGTGGAGGTGCCAAACGACACGTCAAACGAAAAAGTCACGTAAGTTTCCCTAATTCGGGAAACTCTCAATAGATGGCATTAGTTGTTTGCTAGCGCTCGCTTAGCAACCATAGCGCCATCTCTTGAGTGGTTGTATAGGAGTGTGGAAATTGGGGCGAGTTATTTACACTGTGAAAATTACTGCAAGTGGCGTTGTTGCTTTTGTTTTAAGAAAATGTCCACAGATGGCGTTAGTAGTTGCCAAGAACACCTAAATATTGAGTTTATGGTTTATTGTACGATATTTTTTGAGGAAAATTAATTTATACTAATTTATCTTTTCAAGGTTATAAACTTAGAATTTTGTCTAACTATGAAGTTTAGTTTTGTTTTTGTTTTAAGTAATCACATAGAAACGTTTTATTTTCAATTTTAGATCTGATAACGAAGAAATGCCAATGGAGACAGGCCCCAAGACCCTAGAAGCTAAACCGATGCTGGACGACGACCTACTTTCCAAGATCAAACTGTGGCAAATCATGGTAAGAAATAAAATTGACTATATCTTTAGTTAATAATCATACCTAGGTACTGACAAGTCTGGAATGACCCAACCCAATTTTAGGAGATTGCGTTTGCTATAAGCATGCTGATTTAGCTTCGTTCGTTCGTTCGTTTCTGCTAAATAACGTCCACTACTGGACAAAGACCTCCCCCAAGGCTTTCCATAATGAACGGTCCTGCGCTGCCGGCATCCAGGTTCGACCTTTAAGGGAGACCTAGGAGAGTTGTGACAATTTTTACTTTAGGGGCCATATCTCGCTCAAAAAACATTCAACAGCTATGAATCATACAAACTAATGCAGCGCCGTTCCTTCTGTTTTCAAAACAATCACCAAAGTTAACTAAAGTATTAGGGTTTCTAAGAAAATCACCAAAATTTTAGACCACTCCCTCTGTCACAACTCTCCTAGCACCGAGGTAAGTTGTGACAGGTACCGAGGTGAGTTGTGACAGCATTATATTTCATCTATTAGATATAAAAATACAATAATACTCAATCAAATATAATTATATAGAAAAAAAGTACTTTAATCACCCTTTAGTAACAATTAAAACAAATAGTTATAGGATGTCGTTACACAGATTGAGCCACATTTCTCCAGCTTTCATTTTTCTTCCACGACACTTAATTTTTATATTATATTTTTTTGCTAATTTATAGTCACTTAATAATTATATTTTCTTCCTCTTCCCTTCCCTTCCTCTTCTTTAGAAATAAAATAGTCGCGGTGGTATAATCCATAGACGGAGCTTCGCCTTCTGGGTTTACTTGATAAGCCTCTTTCTTCTTAATATATCTTGACAAGTTTAGATTGTAAGAGGTCGCAGCATATCTTAAACTTTAACCCTTTTTAACCTAATCAGGTCCTATATTTCGACTTCAGCAAGCAGTTCCTCTATACGGCATTTTTGTATACTTATTAGGCATTCAGAATCAAAAAAGTAACAGCAGGCAATTCTTATACAAATTATGAACCTACTAACACACAAAAAACATCTAAAAACATCGTGGAAATGGCCCATCAGAAAAATTAGGTAAGCTAGGAGAGTTGTGACAGCCTGTCACAACTCTCCTAGGTGTTTAAAATGACGACTTGGTTCGAATAATAATTTTTATTTTCTAAACACGATGCGCACCCAAAATATCAGTGCTACATTTTGAGACCTGAATAACCATGCAACTTGAGAAAAAATAACACAACAGTGCACATATACTAAAACATGATACAATTTGAAATAAAATTTTGACGAAAAACTTACTATTCGCATTTTTTTGTACACAGACGTCATATTTACGTAACCGTGCCTCTAGCACCGCCCGCAGGTACTTAGTTAAGAAGAGCGTCTTAAAAGCGACAAACAAGCGTTTTTTCCAGCTTCCTAACTATATTAAGTAAGGAGAAATCGTCCTTGTCACAACTCACCTCTGTCACAACTCTCCTAGGTCTCCCCTACTAGATCATCGGTCCACCTAGTAGGAAGCCTGCCCACGCTACTAAGCTACGATATTTAATTTTACAAAAAATTAAATGGATTAATACCGTGGCTTAGTGAAAGGCTCCGTTCGTTCGTTTCAGCCAAATGACGTCCACAGCTAGATAAAGGCCTCCCTCAAGGATTTTCTTAACAACAAGCATCTGGGTGCTTCTCACGACTTTCACCAGATCGTCAGTCCACCTAGACCTAGTGGAGCTAGTGAAAGACTTACATAAATGTAACTACGATTATTTGAACCAATGACTAATTGTAATGTTTTTCTTTTCAGAGAGAGGCATCAGAAGATAAGTAATCCCTCGTAGTTATCTAAATAAAATCGACTGACGTTAAGTTCACCTCATTTCTTCCTAATTTATATTTGAAATGTTTCCTTTAATTATTATTTATAATACTCTAATTTATACCATATACCTGTAATTAACTATGTCAATTGTAAGGCTGGGTTGCAATTGGCAATTAGATGTAAAGTATATAAAAATAGGGTAAAATGTGCCACTTCTATGTATAATATCATTTTCTTCTATTCCTCTTAGCCTATTACCGTTATTCTAAGTAAATTCTGTAACTTATAACTTCAGTTTTTTTACAAATACCTACAATATTTATTTTGTCATAAATTTTGTAGTACCTACTTTAAATCTAAATATTTATTTTGTATAAATTACATAACTAAAAGTGTTTCTTTATAAATTACATTCATCTAAAACTGTATACGAAATCTAAACGCTTAGCTTTAGATGTTCTTCGATTCTGTTATATAAATTATATAAATTCGCATAGGACTGCACTAGTCATGATTGTTGAATGTGTTATTTATAAAATGTGGATCTGTGAAATATAGGGCAGATTCATTTGTGTGTCTTTATTTCAATACTTGCGACCGCCCGCGACTTCGTACGCGTGGATCCCGTTTTACCCTTAGTAGTTGAATTTTGCAAAATCCCGTCTTAGTGAGCGCCTACCTTCTAAAAGGAACCCCCATGCAAAATTTAAGACTCCTAGCACTTGTAGTTTCTGATATTTTGTGATGAATGAGTCAGTCAATCAGTGACCTTTCGCTTTTATAGATTTGATATAGATTTCCTTGAGCATTTGAAGGGGAGGGTGGCAGATGACACTTATCCCAAATGAAAGTAAACAGATTGCAGCTCTTTACGCTTTTTTAACTAACTTAAAAAAGGAGGAGGTTCTCAATTCAGTTCGTATTTTTATTTTATAAAGTGTATTTAATGTAAAAACAACACATTTAAATGTAAAATACAATACTTAGGAACGTCCAAATACTTGCTATTGGTGTTGTGAAGAAAACCTATTATTAATGATAATTTGATATGACTAATCTTAAATAACAAGAAAAATATGACTAAATGTTTGTTGAGAGAGTTATACTCGTATGTAACAGCTTAAAAGAAATGTAGTTTTTCAATTTACATTCTAGGTGCAGCTAGCATCCTCGCCTCTTTGCCTCACGGACACACTTTTATTTTTGAGTAAAATAAGTTTATATTTTTATTTTGTTTAGAGTTAAGTTTGCTTAATTTAAAAAAAAAACTGTTTACTGTAAATAAAGTGTAGAGTAAAATTATGAAAAATGCGAACTCACATTAAAATTCCAATACAAAATGTAGGTAGGTAAGCAGGTAGTAAGTACGTCAATAATACCAAAACGGCTTCTTTGTGCAACAGCCTACAAACAGTATTTAGGGGAAAAAAACAACCTATATTTATTTTGGTTGGTTATTAAGTACATAAACGTTATCATTGCAAATGTTCCTTCATAATCACAGATATAAAGGCATATTAGGCCAGCCTCCCCTAAAAGCATTGTTGCCTACCTCCACCTTTGAGGATAGGTAGTGCAATTACACCAACTTACGAATATGGGAAGATTTGGCCCAAATTGTCAACTCAAGCGAAGTTTATTTCAATTTGAGTTCTTAGTACAAGATAAGCAAACTACCGAATGTCACTGTAATCAAGAAAAATCTCACCATAGATAAGATTTTAAACTTTCACGTTCCATTTTAATTAAAGTATGAATTAGAGAACTGTATTACTTACACAGCTTGACGTTTCGGCTGTATTACTACAGCCGTGGTCATAAGCAAACTGGTGGCTAACAAAAATACGCGAACAACATAGTAGGTACGTTCTATTTTAAAGATCCCTTCTTCTTCTTCTTTCGTCCCTCACTGATGAGGATCGCGACCACAGATAGTGTTCCTCCACAGACTGCGGTCATAAGCTGTGTGATCCCTTATTTTACACAAATTAGCGCACACACATTTTTACACAACAGTTTAGTTAAATACTTAGGATTAATAAAATACAATAGTAGAGGATCACATTTGATATTTTTTACTTAGACCAAACTGCAAACGAGCGGCAAAACGCCGCTCGCAATTAGAAGCGAGATGCCCACTGTCCAACGAACGTACGAATATACTGCAGCTCGGTTCATTTGGAGTGATATCGTGTATCATATTCTGTTGTTCTTAATTAACAAAGGCGGAGAAGCCAGAGCTAGACCACTACAAATTCCTTTGTGGAAATTATTTCGAGATTTCTCCTCTTAAAATGTATATTTGGGCCCACAAGGTGGACAGACGACCTCATAAAGGTAGCGAGAAAACGCTGAATTCAGGCCGCTACTAACCGATCAAGCTGGAAATCTTTCGGAGAGGCCTCAGCCGTCGAACTTCAGCAGTGGACGTCCTGTAACTGAAATGGTAATGATGATGATGATTTTGTGCGAAACGTCGGTTCGTTTCAGCCAAATGACGTCCACGGCTGGACGAAGGACTCTCTTCCACAACGACAGGTCCTCCACTGCCTGCATCCAGGTGCTTCCCGCAACCTTCACCAGAAACTTGATGAGTGTGGGAGTGGGTAATCAATCAATTAAATATTTTAGATATCATTTGCCACCCCATGTTAAGTATACCTAAGCTCTGCTCTCTTTGAGACAGATAAAATTAGTAGCTACTCGTAGGTATACAAGATTGAAATAATAATTAATACTCTTAATTATTATTTACGTTAACATGCGTCTAGATTCTAAATAAATTGATTCTAGAGCTAAATATAATTGGTAGAACTCACTTAAGTTAAACACGTTTACGTCTTATTCAGTTCAAATAAGTGCTATTTTACAAAAAGTCTTACTATAAATAACTAAAATCTAAAAATAACGACGTTTGAAAAAATATTTTTGGGGGCTTATTTTCCTTAAATTGCGGTTGACTGGTTTGGATCCTACACGCAGAGGTCGTAGAGGTTAAGGTTCAAGTGGCACAATCGACTTAAAAAGTAAAAGGTTTTATAGCGCTCAAAAGTGGACATTTATTCATACTTCAATATTGAACGATAATTCATCTGTAGACGTAGGCTTAGACGCGATATCACTTAGCAAGAAATTGTCTTTTTGTGAATATCTAATCTATCTATACTTATCGCCTCGAGCTGAAGTCAAACCTTCAATCACATATAATATGGCGTTATAATTTTTGTACGCAAAACACCACGTTTTACTGAACAACTTTTTTTCTTGCCTGTTGCATATCATAGTAATCGTTGCATACTGAAATCGAATCCAGAACCTCCAAAACGATCTCACGCCACATTCCTTTCAACAGGCCTTCGCAGATAGATTTGTTCCATTATCAACACTGCCATATCACTTATCATTGGTCTACCAAAATGTTACCATTGTCCTCCATTACCGTATTTCTGTAAATAAAATAAAACAGATATAAATAAATGTCCATCCAAAATGTCCGCCCACGAGTTTTCGTATGGGGAAATGTATGACATGTCAAAACACAATGGCGACCTGCAGCGGGGAATTCTCTGATGCTTTCTATTGGAGATTGTTAGTTATTAATTAATAGTTTTAAGAAACTTGCCAGAAAACTAACAACAATAGGACTGAAACATCTTATAGCGACAGAAGTGATAAAAATAACTGAAACCCTCTTGTGTAAAAAATAACATAGTTTTAGTTAGGACTTAGGTATAAAGCGTGTCAAAAGTTCTTTAAAAAGATGATTTCAAAATGAAATTAGACCAATCGCGCTTTAGTTAAAATGATGCAGTAGGTACTTATTATGTACACTATTTTTAAAAGAATAAACGAAATTAGTCCATACTTAATAAAACACGGATTTTCACATAATTATGAAAATACTGTAAATTAATAATAAGCTGGGCAGCTTATTATTAATTTACAGTATTTTATCGCAAATAAAATAAATATTATGAAGGGAACCAACACGTAACAAGTTAGAAATATTTCGTTGATTCATGTTTTGGTTAGAAATGGATAAAGAATATTTAAATGCCAATTTGACCGTAGATATTTTGATGGATCCCCGCAAGCGAATCCGAGGTAAAAGATCATGCGATAAAATCGTGAATATGTATGCGGTGTGTAACCGTTAAGGCCCAAATCCGCCTGTCACGGCGCACTCAATGATACTCTAACTAGGGACGTTTAAATTGCAGAATGTGTCGATCGCTAAGCCGATTCCGATGGGGCACAGATCTAAGATGCATAGAAGAGACGCTTGATATGTTTGATTTACGAGTTTTAGCATAGAGGTAAAATCATCATCATCATCATCATTTCAGCCACAGGACGTCCACTGCTGAACATAGGCCTCCCCCAATGACTTCCACATCGCACGGTTGATAGCGGCCTACATCCAGCGCCTTCCTACTACCTTTATCAGGTCGTCGGTCCACCTTGTGGGTAGACGTCCCACGCTGCCTGCACCCCAGAGATCATTAAAAATTCAAACCGATTCTAGATTTTTTTTCAAGTTATTAATAATTTAATATCGTAATTGAAAGCTGAAATTGTATTATGAAAGTTGTTGCCACTCTTCCCTTCTAATTATTTACGAAGCACTCTTACTGTTAAACCCCAAAACTCAACAAAAAGTAACTTCGGTCACGTCACGCCGTATACGCCGGATCTATGTTTAGGTATTTTAACTTAGTGACTGACATTGCGCAATTGTTTTGAATAATTTATCCCAACAGACACGCGAGTATATCCAAATCCATCGTCAAATTAAGCAGATCGTCATTTGTTTCTCATGTCTCTTCCAGTATCGTCTCTAGCTCTCTGACCACTCGTACAAATTGAATTTTTCAACGTGCACAGATTACCTGTATCTGTGCGCCTCCGCTGAGTTACTGTGTGAGTTATTGCTTGCTCTATGACTCCATTTCACGTAGACTAATGTGGACCAACCTTTAAATGACGTTTTGCGTAATCTATAGTTTTATCAAAAAAATAAATTTCTTGTAAAAACACACAGTATTTCTATTTTTAATTTAGTAACCAGCAGCCGCCCGCGACTTCGTACACGTGGACCCCGTTTTACCCCCTTAAGAGTGGAGTTTCGTTGTGAAATCCGTTCTTAGTGAGCACCTACGTTCTAAACGGAACCCCCATGCAAAATTTGAGACTCCTAGCACTTGTTGTTTCCGAGATTTCGTGATGAGTGAGTGAGTCAGTCAATCAGTGACCTTTCGCTTTTATGGATACAACCTATATGGATAAAGGACATTGTCAGAAACCGCCTAAAAAACCGCCCAAAAACATTAACCCATCATAATTATTTACTATTTTTTTTAATACATTAAGCNTAAAAGTGGAATGCCGAGTTGTATTTCTAAAACTTGTTCTATTATTTTATACTATTTGGCTGCGACTCGGCGTGACGACAATACAAAACATTTTTCGCGAATCGGTGTTCATACATTCACACAATACATTAGACGCCATGTTGTCATAAACGACATATTATAAAATCGCTGTGATTTAATATTCTTAATCATTAATTTTATGGCAAGTGTCCATCAGGAATCATTGTTCTTACACACAGAATCGTATTATTTCGCTTTCGGGTAGTAATATGTCAAAATTGTTGGTTCTTAGGCGAACAATGTATGGAGAACGAACATTGTCCTTTATTTTCTTCTTCTTTTATGGTGTGGGTTGTACTCGTAGTAACCACATATTAAACCACCATAGGCATCTGACAAGGCTTAATGGGGACGACACATATTATTTTAACAATATTTGTATGATAGGTACTTGTTAATAAATCTCAAAAATATGATTTGTATCATCTTCCTTCTTGAAGTAAGCTATATTTAAGACTGATTAAGTAATACCTTATTTTAGTATCGGTTGCATAAAAGTTATATGAAGAACAATGGTTAACCAATACAATGGAAGTTTAGAAGTACGAAAATAAAAATAAAAGTGAAAACACAAACATCTTTGCAGCGTTTAATAACGTTGTTTGAAATGTAAGCGCACGAAAATACCCTAGTTCGTTATTGTGCCGTTTTCCCTAACTTCTTGAGTCATGCATAATCATCTCTTAAGGGTTTTTATCCACAGGCGGTAAAAGCGATGCGAGGCGATGTGTACACAGTCCCTATTTATTTATAATTCAAACATCTAAAAAGCTAACAGAATACAGGTTCCAAAGCGCTTATAAGAATGTCATATAATAATAATTAATAATAATCAGTCAATTTAACAAAGCACACATTAAACTAGCTAGCTTCTAGGTAGTTAGTCAAAGACTAAGCTAGCTTACTGTTTGCGCCACTTCAAGTCTTTCCCACTATTTGAATCAATCGATTTGGGAACGCTTAAAACGCCGTACCTAGTTCGAAATTTGAATTACGCGCCGCGCGCGGTCAATGACGCGCGGTCCTACCATAGACTTTTTTTTTATTCCGTTGAGATCTCAAACTGTGCGTGTTTCGTGCCGCATAAAAAACTGATTTATAGTGTACAATACGCAAAATTGTGGTGATTTCTGGCTGTGATCTGATTCCCTAAGATCCAGCAGGTTATTGGATAGTGAAAAGAAGGCGGGCCCGCCAGTAAGCAGACTTTTCATCTTCACGTGGTGGATCACGGTGAGAAGACTTGATGTGCTGCAAGTAAGTGTCCCTATCGTCTGTAATTTTTGATTCGGTAGTGTTCAGGACGCGAAGTGGCCGATGTATTCCTCACTAGCCCATTTTCTCGCAATTTTTAATAAATTTTTTTTTTTTTTTTATCCCCAACGAGGAAGCTCTTGGTCNTTAGAACGCCCAATAACACACTACTAATAGTGCAGTCATTCTTGGCGGCGACTTTAATAGCAAACACACTCATTGGGGTTGCGTAACATCCACTGCCAATGGCAACATGTTAAGTGAACTCTCTGAGGAACTCATTTTTGACATCTTAGTCCCTATGACGCCCACNCCACTAGACCACAGAGGCGGTTAAATTTAACAACCTTTTACTCAACCCGCTATTTTGTGTGGATTCGCGGCATACTATTTAGCCCCCACACTTACAGTGGATTGTAGACCACGAATATACTTCAACTAGTATATTATAACATACACTCAATCTTCCATTCTTCTCGCTATAGCTAGCTATGTTTGGTGTACAATCAACCTCTAAAATCTCACCAACTCTGAATTTTTCTCGACTTTAATCGTTTTCGTAATGTTTGTGAAATTCTTTGTTTTCATTATTAACATTTCTTGGACGTAAAGTCCAGTTATTTATTTAACTAAGGTCTCTCGCATAGTTTTTTGCACGTTTACTAGGTCAGGCAGGCCAATCGAGAAATTATCTGGCGCTGTTGATGGTTCATTACTTTTATTTTATTATTTATTTGTTAACGTATTAACAGCCCACACACTATTATATGAAAAATAAGGTAAGAAAACTACAGAAAATAGGACAGTTACTAATTACCTTAATTAGCTAACACAACATAATGCCCTAGAGACAACACTGATAAGCTAGTTTTAGCAGATATTAGTTTTCTTAAAATAACTCCAGCAAAATGATAATCAAGAAAATTATGAAACGCTGCATCCCAAAGGGTTTGCTACAGTGCTAATCAAAGATACAGTCAGCCGTATAACATTTAGATATTTTGTGTAGGTACATAATGTTTCAGAACAATACTATTTTGACGTTCATAAGTGCCACTTGTGGTCTAAACTGAATAAATATTTTTGATTTTTGATTTTGATACAGGAATAATATTGCTATTCAAACTAAGTTAAATAAGTTTTAGCAACTGTATAAACACTACTCCACTGTCTTAATCTTACAGCCGTCTTCATGCCTTACATGAATCTGTGCATAAATTAAATAAAATCTATTGTAAAGTATGGAGCGAAGACATCAGTCGATTCGCTTCGCATCGCTCGCACGGTACGGACGTGCGCTCCGCCTCGCCCGCCCGCTCGCATGCGCTGCGCTCCGAGTTCCTCGAGCTTATCGCCCTCGCTCTGCGAGTCTTGTTTCTGTGGTGTTTGTCACAATTACGTGGCTTGCCCGCGGCTGCGCTTGGGATACCTAACGGTGATAACGAACAAGCGTAGTTAAACGCCTTTCTAAAGGCGGTTCGGTTCGATTGGGAGCGACCGACAGTGCCTTTTTCAAGGCGCTGAAATTTCCTGCCGCCGCCGGTATATTAGGCTGTGAACCTTGGCCTCCTGGAAGGCACGTTTGAGAGGGTGAGGCGTTCCTCCTCGCCCTTGAGACACTCGGTTTCACAGTCTTTTCACTGCCGGGCGTGACCCCCCCTACCCCTCCCTACTTTCCATCCCTGAAGGAGCGTATCCCTGGTTGTTTTTGCGACCGGGGCCCTCCTGAAGGACTGCTAGGAGTAGGTACTCACCCTACGTCGCGGCGTTGCTACGTTGCGGCGTAGTTACATTGGAAAAAAAAAAAAAAAAAAAAAAAAGGAGCGAAGACATATCATGTTCACACTATCTTTAGATTTTTAGTCTCTAGGTATTGCAGGAGACCGAACCTCTCTAGTTTAC